GTTTTATTTCTTTTTCTTTTTCTTCTGTGTGTTTTCCGCATTCAGGGCTTGCGAGGAAGAGGACAGTGGTCACTCAGGATCCGATTGCTGGAGGGCCCTGGCAATCAAAGCCCACAAGATGGTCAGAGATGACACAGAGAGGTAGAGCCTCACAATAGTCAGTTTTATAGAGGTCATGGAAGCAACCATTTGGAACTGGCAGTGAGGAACCAGGAGGATGCCACCCTCCACCATGGGCCCATGTGAGGCCTTTCAGCCTCCCCATGAGAAGCCTGTGGAGGGAAATGGTGACTAGGTTTCAATAAAGTCAAGGAGATGGAACAGGTGATCTGGAAGGAGGTTGAGGTTGGAGCGGAGCTTATTAGTGATGAAACAACTATTTCACAGAGTGCAGTGGAAAATCCTATATAATAAAAGCCTAATATGCGAAGTGTTCGACCAGTCGCTAGATGCGCACTGACCACCAGGAGGCAGATGCTCTGATTGGTAAGTTAGCTTGCTTCTGGGGTCCAGCAGATCAGGAATGGGTGAGACGGGCCAGACATGCCCTGGAGCCCTCCCGCGTCCCTCCCTGGCCCCGATCGTGCACCAGTGGGGTCCCTCAGCCTGGCTTGAGCCCTCTCATAATCTGGGACCCCTCAGGGGATGTTGGAGAGCCAATTTCGGCCAACCCCCGCAGGCCAGGCCGAGACCCCACAAATCTGTGCACCGGGCCTCTAGTGTATTTACAAAATGCTGAGGGAAAATGGAAGAGGGGAGTTCTTAATCAAATTGGGAAAATCCAGAAAGAACTTCCAAAGGAGGTAATCAGGGTTCTGAAAGACAGATCCCAGTCAGCTCTGTAAATGAGGGAGGGAGGAGGAGAGGGGAGGTAAGTGTCAAGTTTTAAGCTGAGGCATAATATTTCATGGAGATAAGGCACATCTATGGTATTGCCCTAAGTTCCAAGTGGCTGGATTGAAGAGGAGGTCTGAAGTATTGGTGATCGCTGAGGCAGCTTCTGATCAAACTGAAAATATCTCTAAACTGTGAAAATCTGTCTAAACTGTGAAAATACCTCTTGCTGGCCAATAGGAGCAGAGGTCAGAGAAAGGAAGCACGGTGTGCTGAGCTATATAGGCCTCCCCAGAGATTTTGCACAGGATGCAACATTTTATTCTGGACCATCTGACAATAATTGCCAGAATTAAAGCATTAAATACAAATCTTGCTCCAAAAGAAAGATACTCCTATTAAACTCATTTAGCCCTTTATTTAAAAGCGCAGCAAGTTGTCCCCTTCAGACTGGTAGGACGGGATTACATCCTGTTCACTGTGCCTGCCCTCTCTCTCCTTCCCTACTTCCTCTCCTTGCCTGTTCTCCCCTTCCATCCCCTCCCCCTGTCTT